TCCTAACTCACCGTTCTCAACCTGTGGGTCGTGACCCCTTGGGGGTCTAATGACCCTTTCACAGGGGTCGCCCGATTCATCACAGTAGCAAAATTACAGTTATACAGTAACAACAAAAATAATTTTATGGTTTGGGGGTAACGACCACATGAACTGTATTCAAGGGTCGCAGCACTAGGAAGGAAGGTTGAGAACCACTGCTTTATGGGAACAGACAGCCTCTTCTTTTTACCACAGAGCTGCCCGGGGGTTCAAACTGCTGTCTGGGGCTCCTTTTGTGGACCCTAGATTGTTGTCATCTGTTTGCTTTTACTATTCAGTTTTGTCTGGAATATCATCCTCCAATCCATTCTTAATCTCATATACTCCCATCCTTCATGATGAAACACCTCCCCTTAAAACAATCCCAGCCTCCCTCTCTCACTGACCTCCTGCCTCCCTCAGACCGTTCACACAAGTTCCCAACGTCCCCTTGTCCAGGGGCCCACTCTTCTCCCCTTTTCGTCTACGACTCCAGAGGAACCTCACAGTCCTTATCACCGTGAACTCTAACTATTGCTTTTCGGTTTTGTTTTTTTTCAGTCAACCCCCCCCCACCACCCCATCTAGACTGTGACCTCCCCAAGGAAAAGACTGCACACCGGTTATTTTTTTATTTCCCCAAAAAGCCAAAACCAAACTTACTGCGATCAAGTTGATTCCGACTCATAGCTACTGTATAGGAGAGGGATGAACTGCCACTGTGAGTTTCTGAGACTGTAACTCGAAGTCCTGTCTGGTGGTTTCGAACTGCCAACGTCACTGTTAGCAGCCTACTGCATAACCACTAGGCCACCAAGGCTGACGCATATGGGAGGAACTGGTGGGTTGAAAAGTCCTATTTCATCAATCCTTACTGGTGTTCTTGTTGCTGTGAGCTGCCATTGCATTGGTGCCGACTCAGAGAGACCCGCTGAGCAACAGGAAGAAACACTGCCCAGCCTGTGCCAGGCTCACTACTGGTGTTTGGAAAGTGGTCGCAGCCACGGGGTCAATCCATCTTGCCCAGGGCCTTCCTCTTTTTCGCCTAACGATCTAACTAAGGATTCTATAAAACCACATTCCTGTGAGCAGCCCACGACATTCAATGCAGACTTCAATCGCAAGGTGTCTGTCCATTACAACACAATTACAGTGTGCACGTGTCCCTCTAGGAGCCAAGGGCACAGTGGGATTGAGGCTCGATAGACCGTATTCGCACACAAAGGTTGAAGTGCATAGAAATACAGGTGCACCGTAAAGCAGGGTGGAAGCCCAAAGGGAGACAGAGACAGCCAGGCAGATGGGCTACAGAAAGCCTTCCAGTCGAGGGTATCCCAACACACAAGACAAGCCGTTCCACCAGGGCCACCCCACATAACAGGACAAGAACAACCTGCAGGGCGGTGTCACGGGTGCTGTGTAGATTAAGCCCCCTTTCTACTGGCTGTCCGAGGAGACTACAGCTATTCTACCACACTGCCTTAGCCTCAAGGGCACAGCCCACTCCCGGTGCAGCTCAGGGAGCCAGTCCCTACACCCTGTGGCTCAGACAGCTACTCAAGATTCAGGTGGCGGCCCTTTGTTGACAGGTGTCAGGTGCAGAAGGAGGAGGCCCTGAGCAAGGACCCATTGGGAGGCAGGGCCTCGGGACCCTGGAAGGTTGTACCAGCAACACCGTCTGCGGAGGCCTCACAGTGGCCTAGGAGGAAGCGCAGGCAGATCGGGGCTTGAATGCTGGCCCCACGGCTTCTCAAGGAGGCACCGCCTTAGCTTCTTTGAGACCCGTCTACCCACTGGGGAGAACAAGGCTAAGGCCTAAGGGCTCTCATGGGGAAAACAGACGTGAGCCGAGTGCCCCGTGTGGCAAGGCTGCTGGAAGGGCTGCTCTCCGCGGTGTGAGAAACAGCTGGCCAGGAAACGCCATCCTCACTTGGGTCAGGGCTTCTTTAGTGGCCTCCAAGGAGAGGCTTGGGTGGGAGACAGTTCTGGAAAGTTGGACTTGACTCTCTTGGATCCTGTCAGCCCGACAGAATATCTCCTAGACATGGCCCTTCGCCAATGGCTGGCATCGTCAGGAGGCCCGGATGGCTGTTTCCTTGCTCCTCCCTGGCCTATAGTCACCTCTGGGGGAACCTGCCCATGGGGGAGGTTGTGTGGGGGGTGGGGCCGGGGGGAGGCGCGGGGGGGCAGTGCTGACTCACTCCTAGGCACCCTCTGGCCCCGGCATCTCTCCCACCACGGCTTACAGACTCAAGACCGAGCCCCTGCCTCCGAGCTAGGGTCTAAGGTCAAGCAGGCCATGGAGAACAAATGGCCTGAATTGGAACAGCCCTCCTCCCAGGCCTGCCCAGGGTCCCCACTGGACTACTGGGGGACACTGACACGCATGAGTCAGAGGCTAGACCCAATGCTGACCTCTGGGCTCAGCCTGTCCCAAGGGCCACGGTCTCACTGAGTGGGCCATTGTCTCCCTGTGGGCGCCTGGACACGGCCTCCCTGCCCCCAGCCAAGCCCACGGGCCCAAACACAGCTCCTTTCTCCCCAGAGCCCTCGGCGTCCCCCTCAGACCAGGTTCCCAGGATCAGACACCAGATTACAAAATCCTCGGGCTGGGAGCTACTTCGAAATCCCCTAAAATGGAAATTAAAAGAGGAACTGCCTGCCAGTTTCCTCCGAGGCAGGGGTACATGCGAATGGGTACTACCCTGGCTATAGGTGTGCTGTGGGGGAGGGGCCGCTGAGAGCAAAAGACTGTCGTGGACCCTA